CCCGCCTTTCTTAGTCATTGCTGTCAACGGTTTGGCGATGGTTCCATAATCCTTTAGAAACTTCCGGTAGTATCCTGTAAGCCCCAAAAATCCTCCCAACTGTGTGAGACTAGTTGGCTTAGGCCAGTCGACCATAGCCTCAATTTTTCGTGGGTCGACCTTCACACCGTCATATGATATGAAATGTCCAAGATATTCAACCATCTCCTGCCCGAATGAACACTTGGACGGCTTGATGTGGAATGAGTTGGCCTCCAGAATTTCGAGAACTATCCTTAGATGCCCAAGATGTTCGTCCCATGACTTTGAATAGATCAGGATATCGTCGAAGAACACCAGAACGAACTTACGCAGGTACTCCTTGAAAATAGAGTTCATGGCGAACTGGAAAGTGGATGGGGCGTTGCACAAGCCGAATGGCATAACCAGATACTCATAGTGCCCCTGGTGTGTACGAAAGGCTGTGTTTGGGATGTCAGCTTTGTGTAGTCGAATCTGATGGTAGCCAGCTCTTAGATCGAGCTTAGAGAAATAGCGTGATCCAGCTAACTCATCAAGCATATCTTCGACACTGGGGATTGGAAATCTGTCCTTGATGGTTGCAGCGTTTAGAGCTCGATAGTCAGTACAAAATCTCCACGTGTCGTCTTTCTTTTTAGCCAACAGAACTGGAGAAGAGAACGGACTCTTGCTATGCTGTATAAGACCTGATTCAAGCATCTCAGCCACTTGCCGTTCGATCTCGGTTTTCTGAAAGTGAGCGTACCTATAAGGGTGGACATGTATGGCATGCTGTTCATTGACAAATGGTATGCGATGGTCGAACTCTCGGTGTGGTGGTAGTCCTTTGGGCTCGCCCAGTACTCCTTCAAACTCTCCGAGAAGCTCACGCACATCTCCCTGTTGTTGTGCGTCCTTGCTCGAGTGCGCTCCCACATCTTCGACTACTACGGCAAAGATTTGGCCTCCACCACACCAAACTTTCTCGATGCTCTTCAACCCTACTTCCTTAGCTTTTTTGTCAGTGCTGGTGCTGAGGGTGACCTGACGACCTTCGGAGTTGAACTCCATAATTCCTGTTCGATAGTCGGTCGTCACCTTGCCCAGTCCTTCGAGCCATTGGACGCCCAGCACTACATCTGGTCCAACCAGGGGTAAGGCATATAGATCAGCCTTCACCGTAACTCCGCTAAACCTGATTGGCACCTTTCGGAAGGACTTAGTGCATTGCAGCCTTTCCCCGTTGGCTACCCGTACCTCGAAAGGTTCAATATTCATAGTTGGCAAGTTCAGTTTTTGAGACAACTCGGCGTTGATGAAATTGTGGGATGACCCGTTGTCTACTAGCACCATCACCTTTCGATCTTTGACCCAAGCTGGTAAGCGCATAGTCCGAGGACCTCGTATCCCGGCCATAGCGTGCATCGAGATTTCAGGCTCATCTCTGAAGTCCTCAGTCTCGTCGTCTTGAGGTGGTTCCTCCTCGACCTCAACCTCCTTGTCGTCCGGGTTGGCCACCTCTATAACAAAGGCTTGCTTGCACTGATGCCCCGGGGTAAACTTCTCTTCGCACTTAAAACAGAGACCCTTCTCACGTCGCCGTTTGACCTCCTCCGGCGATAGGTGTCGGACTAATGCCCTCGCTGGCCGTGTATTGACCGCAGGCCGAGCGCCCGTGGTTACTTGGCTTAGGCCCGTGCGTCGTGCGTCGGGAATCCGGGCGTCCGCCCGTCCCCTTCGTGTTGCAACCAGGTGATCCTCCCGGCGTCGGGCCACTTCCATCGCGTCATGCATGGTGTCGGGCCTCTCGAGCCGTACCTCAGCAGCCAAGTCGAATTTCAACCCGCCGATAAACGCGCCAACTAGTGCCTCTTCCGGCCAGTCGCGCACGCGGCAAGCCAATCGTTCGAACTCCCTAATGTATTCGCGTAGGCTGCTTGTTTGCCGTATGCGCGTAAGAGCCTCATTGTAATTATGATAATCGGACGTACCAAATCGCGTAAGCAACTCTCTCTCAAAAACGTCCCAAGTAATAATTTGCTGGCGCTTGCGGTAGATCCTAGTAAGCCATTGCCACCATACATTGGCCTCACCATCAAGATAATATGCTGCATACCTCACGCGATCGGGACCATCGGTTTCATTAAGCTCGAAATATTGTACCGCCCTGTGGAGCCATGCGT